CCCCTGGACTGTTTCAGTATAAAAGAATGCCCTTTGGACTCAAAAATGGACCCGCGACATTTCAAATGCTGACGGACATGATTATCCCCACTCAGTGGTCAAACAACGTGCGAAAGTACGCGGACGATTTCTTAATTTTTACGAAAACCCTCGAGGAATACAAGTGGTTCAGCTCCCAATTAATCACCCGGTTACAAGAAAATAACATCACTATCAATGCGGATAAGTGTGATTTTTTGTGTAATAGATTGGAGTTTCTCGGATACTTATTGACCCCCGACGGACTCGAAGCTGACCCCGATAAAGTAGCCCCCATTACCAACTACCCTCCCCCTCGAAATGTCAAAGAGCTCCAACGCTTCCTAGGAATGGTCGGTTGGTACGCTCGGTTCCTCCCCTCCCTAGCAGAAGATAAAGCCCCCCTCCTTAGACTTTTAAAAAAGGACCGGACTTGGGACTGGACAGAAGACCACCAGACAGCCTTTGAAAAACTGAAAAGATCCCTAGTTTCCACCCCCGTATTAGCCCGCCCCGACTTCAAAAAACCCTTCACAATTCAGAAAGACGCTAGTGACATCGCGATCGGAGCCGTATTAACTCAAGAATCTGAGTTCGGATCCGACCACGAACAGAAAAATTCCTCCCTAGGCGCCGATCGTCCCATTTACTTCGCAAGTAGAGTCCTCACCCCCCCTGAGAGAAATTACACCGTCACGGAGCGAGAGTGCTTAGCCGTTCTGTGGGCCACTAGGAAGTTTCGCCCATACATTGAGGGAAGTCAGTATAGAGTCATTACCGATCACGCCAGTCTGAAGGGGCTTTTAAACTTCAAAAATCCCGCTGGTCGCGTCGCTCGATGGGCCCTCGAACTCCAGTCCTACGACCCTGTCATCATTCATCGAAAGGGATCCCTCCACGTTGTCCCCGACGCCCTCTCACGGGTCTGCCCTACTACCCTCGCTGCCCTCGAAATTATCAAATCCTCCCTCGACCGCTGGTATCAGAAGAAGAAACTAGACGTGACCCTCAGCCCATCGAAATACCCAGACTGGACGGTAGAAGACGACACCCTTTATCACCT